CCTGTAAGCGTGTTGTTGAGACACTGGAGGAATTCGCTAAAAAGTAGGTGAAATTTTTTTGTAGAGATTTTTTTCCGTGACATACTTAAACAATAAAACAGTTCTAGGAGAGCATGTATACGAAATTTGAGCGGCATTTGAGCTATAGGTGAAAAACGTTATGCCGGTGACACGAATCGGAGTCTTTAGATTGCGCGCATACTCTGAGAAAATGATATGGTCATATTTTCATCTTAGGTCCGTCCCGAAGGAGGATCGTGAGGTTTCGGTAGGTTTTTGGTATTATTATTTCATGTCTCACATATAGTGTATTTAGTTTGCTCTCCGATACCCTAGTAGCGACCTGAGAGCTGCTGATGTCTTCCCGACAACGGCAGGCGTGAGAGCTTATTATCAAGCAATCGTTAGTGACTGTATACGTACAGAAAGCAGTAGGGAGCGATGGAACAAGTTCAGCGAGGAGGTGGGTGGGAACTATACTAGGTTAGCAGTGTGGTGCTGAATCCGTGATATGAAAAACACTAGTGAAAAACATATTTTACTGCATAGCTCGGATATCGGGGTTTTCACATAGTATTACGGTACTAAACGGGTGAACCTCTGGTGTTGGGGGAATATATGTTCACATTCTTCGGCTGATCTCAGGAGTTTACTGACTAATATTAGGAGTTAGGATGGAAGTGTACATGAACCAACAAGAATTTCCCAAAAAAATTTTGAAAATTTCTATGTCGTCGCCGACACGAGTAGTTGACGATGAGCATGTTCCCCCCCCATACTGTGCTGAATCAGGTTGCCAATCGCTACTCGAGTTCCCTCGAAGGCGTTCATCATTCGGCAGAATTGGGAGTGTTAGGCGTAGACCTGTTCTATGCGGATGCGCAGTTGGCCAAACGCCACCTGGACGAGCTCGGTCAACGTTTGCAGGAACTGCTCGGTGCTGAGTACGATATGGTCCCGTGTGTCGTGTAGGATTATATCGTACACCAATACGAATTCTACTCGTTCAGTTCGGAGTGGTATTGAATAAATATCACTTAGAACCGGACGAGTAAAAATTCGCATATATGAGTATAAACGTCCGAATTCTTCATCAATACTATTGGTGGCATTTGGAAAATGTTCTATATTCGTTTTTGTGATTATTGACTTTTCTCTCGTTCATGGAAATTTAGTGATTGGACCGAACTTCTCGTTGGTGGTCAGATTTACGTCGTGCAAGCTGCCACCCAAAGCTAGAGTGGCGGAGGACTGCCGTCTATTCCACGGCAACGATGTTTCCACTATGGTAGATGTCGTTACCGCCTCGCTGCAGTTCGAGACACTGGAAGGCCTGTTCTCGGGTATGAGGTCAATGATGAACAGCGATCAGGTGACACGGCTGTTGGTCAGCTGTAGAATCGGCTCGCTTCAGTTTAACCGTCATGATATGCGTATTTGTTGCGTGAGGAACCTTATCAACGACTATCTTTTGTCCGCCCAAGTGAGCTCCTCTCGGGGGAAATTCTGCCGGTATGGTTTCGGCAGAATTCTCCTTCGCCCCCACGGCCTCCTTGTCTGGAAGTTTATATTGGCGTATGCCAGTTCATATGCCGGTTGGATGTGTGCTTACCCGAATTCTGGGAAGTGCGGAATCACGATGTTGTCGTGGTATGGTATGCACTCTACT